AATATGTGTGTCTGTGAATTATTTATGAGTTATGTTTTTATATATTTCATATATTAGATTGTATATTGTAAAACATTTCAAACTATATGATATATGATATATTATTACTAATGTAAAATAATATAGGCCTATTAATAAATACACACACACACACACACACATACAGTATATACTGTGTATAATATGTAAAATACTATACAACATGAATATGTTTATCAGTTAGAATACATGAATATGGTAATCACTACAGTATTACCATCTGATACTGTACATCACTGTACTGCTGTACAGCCACAGTATCTGATGTCTAATGTTCCATAGTTCATATTCTGACCCTGTCTGCATGAGCTCTTTTTCATCTGTTAAATCTGTGTTATGTTTCTGAAGTGTTCACAGTTAAATGCGTGTGTGCGTGTGTGTGTGAGAGTGTGTGTGTCAGGGTGTTTCTTCAACTCTATGTGCGGCTGCACTTAAAAGAAATGAAACACCCTCTTGAAATACACTTATAACACTTCATTTCCACCACATCTCCAACAATGAATTATACAGCTCATTTCAAATCGAGTATGTTATGCACCCTTAATACACACAATTAAATACACATTTTGCATAATTTGACAAAATTACAGCGTGAATGCAATTTTAACGTTAAAAATATGTTTATGGTTTTTTCCTTTTTGAGATAAATGATTTTTGTTTTCTTCACATCACATCTCATATTTCACTGACAAATTTAGTACACTAACTTTGGAAAAAACTTTATTAACAGCAGAATTGTCGGTTGTAGTGGAAATGACAGTTGTTTATAAAAATGAAAAATAAAATAAACACCACAACTGATGGACATTTGTTAAAAATTACATAAAATAAAACTAAATTGAAGTAAACAAATAAGGGACAGTTGTTAAAATAAAATAAAATAAAATAAAATAAAATAAAATAAAATAAAATAAAATAAAATAAAATAAAATAAAATAAAATAAAATAAATATTAGGCTCTAGACTCATTCTTCCCACTGGTCGCTCTTTTGCGACTAACTTTCTCAGTTGATCGCATGAGCACATAATTTGGTCGCAATTTTTTATTTTTTTTCTACAACATGGGATTAATCAATGCATGCTGATAAACTTTTATCATAGTCTATAGTTATATGGTAACCAAAGTGTTCAACTTTCAACCCGTTCTTTTTCAGTGTGTGTGTGTGTGTGTGTTTGTGTGTGTGTGTGTGTGTGTGTGTGACAGATTGTAAATGGCCATGTGTGTGTGCTGGCGGTACAGAATAGACCCGGACCACCGGCGAGCCCCGAGTGCTGTCAGAGTCTGAAGTCTGAAGCCTTAAAGGCATTCCACTCCCCGCTGCCATCTTCATGTTTACAGCGCCTTTGTTTAGCTTGAAAAGGTGCTGTGGGAGAGAACCGCAGCTTGAAAGAGGCTCCGAGGAGAAAAAGAACGAGTGAAGGAGGGGTAAACCTCAGTGTACACACACACACTTGCCATATGTATGGGCTGTTTGTTCTGCCAATAGAAGCATCTGGGGCCATCGTGACCTTCAATTAGACTCGTGAAGGTGTGGAAACGGCCTGAGGTGAGAGCGAGAGACACACAGAGAGAGAGAGAGAGAGAGAGAGAGAGAGAGAGAGAGAGAGAGAGACAGAGAGAGAGAGAGACAGGCTGAGGTGACTCTGAGCTTGTCAAGATTTGCTCTTAATTGAGAATGCAGTGAGATATTTGAAGGTCGAGTGAGAAAAACCAGCCCAGCTGCTGCCAACACGTGTTTTAGATTTGTGACTTTCACACACACACACACACACACACACACACACACAAAATGTACCCATACCACCTCACTAGACACACTCTCATTTAGTAAAAGCCAACAAATCCGCTGGGAATCTACCGCTAGGAAACACTCTCGCACACATTGCATAAGGACTTAAGGAAATATATGAAATATAAACCTGTCAAAAGTAGCAGAAACCATCCATCTGCTGTGTGAAAGTGCTGTATGATTAAAATAAAATGAAATAAAATAAAATAATTTATGCCACAACTGTGATACAGTGATAAATAAAATATATAATAAATATTAAAAATAAAATATATAAAATGAATGAATGAATGAATGAATGAATGTCAGAAGCAGCAAAAATATGCCGGCCTATCTGCTGTGTGGTTAATAAAATAATTAAATAACAGAAAATATAAACTAAAAATAATTTAGGCAACAGCTGTGGGTTAGTTATAATAAATAATGAAAATAAATAAATAAATAAAACCAAAAGCAGCAGAAACGTTGATTCATCTGTTGTGTTAGGGTGCTGTATGGTTAATTGCTGTATGATAATAAAATAAAATAAATTAAATAAAAAAAGGAAGTAATAAAATAAAAAATGGGAAAAATAATATAAAATAAAATAGAAATATAAAAGAGAATAAAATAAAATATGAAAAGAAAAGAAAAGAAAGGAAAAGAAAAACTAAAATTAAATAAAATAAAGAAAAGAAAGTAATAAAATAAAAAATGGGGAAAATAATATAAAATGTAATAGAAATAATAAAATAAAAGAAAAGAAAAAGAAAAAGAAAAGAAAAGAAAAGAAAATTAAATAAAATTAATTGATGCCACAACTAAATAAATACACAAAATCTAATGTAATTATAAAAAAGGAACATAAAATTGTCAGAAGCCAGTCCATCTGCTGTGTGAAGGTGCTGCATGGTGCCCTGTAATTGTGTGAACGCTGTGGTGAACACGCATCCATCAGCGCAGGAGTGACAGAGGAGAAACACCTCTCGTTCTCGACCTCTCTCATTTTGACAAGCTCGTTCGCAAAACACATCACCTTCCAGGCAGAACTTCTCACAGCTCAGGGTCAAAGGTCACGACACTCACAGAAGGGTTCAATTAGCACACGCATATGATTTACATCAAAACTGACTCTATTTACTCTCCTAATTCACATTCCAGGTATTACTGAGCACGATTCATCGGTT